GGCTACAGAGTTAGGGGAGGGACAGCAAAACGTGCCAAGTGATGTATCGTCAAAAGGGAGGGTGAGAAATTTTAACTAGCAGTAATAGTACCCACAATAAGCTCAACTGGAATATGTGACTGTTGACGAAACTTACAGGAGAAGTTCCGAGTCACAATCATCGTTGTGAGGATGGCACCCTAGAAGAGACCAGGAAAAAGGGGTTGGAATTAAGGTAGGTAATGCTTACGGTTGCATAAAGGAGGAGAGGAATGCCTTGACAAAACGCCAAGCGAGGAGAAAGTACACAGTTGGCGCAAGAAAAATGGTCTGTCAGTAATAAGGGGCTTTAAAAATTGGAGATGGGCGCCCGACTGGTTCTCGTAAGACCCAAAGGCAGGTAGGGAAGCTAAGGGGCTAGTTGTCGACTGAGTGGATAAAGCAGACCAACTGGAATGGACCTGACCGACATCACGACAGCCATGAGAACAGAACATGGCTTCCTATTAAGTTGCTCACTGCGATATGCTGGTGTTTTCTTTTCATCTCAGATTTTCTTAGCTGTCAAGTAAAATTCCTCCGCAGGAGTTGTAATTCTTTTTATCTATTCTTATTTCGGTTACAAATGACCAGAAAAGTAGTCCTTTTGCAGAGAGGTTGTCGGCAAATAGGCTCCTTATAATCACCCTACAATGTAATCTGTGGGTTGTTTTGGAGCATACACCGCCTGTCAACCCGAACCAGGTTACGCTTCCAAAAAACTCCATTTCATAACGGCATAACACGCATCACGAGAATATGATAGGCAACTAATGTCCTGACCATGCTGCTCCGACTCCTCCTCCTTCTTCTTCTCCTCCTCGCCGCGATTGAGGCCCACCCGGCGGGGTTCCGGATCCAACAAGGGCTACTTGCCTGCCTGCCTCGGAGTTGAAGGTGCCCACAGACGGAAGGTAACCATCAGGCGCAAGGTCATGGACCAAAGCGCCCACAGTCAATGCAGGCAACGTCTGTGGTTGTTTAGTGGGTGTATTCGAGTTACGTACAAGGCAACTACGTCGGAAAAACGGGGAGATTACTGCCGACGCGATTGGCTGAACATGCAGCAGCAGCAGCAGCGGTGGGGAGGAGGGATGACTATATATCCCAGATTGAGGCTCAATAAGTCAAGGGCGAAATCCTCGAATCATGACTCGTGGGACCACAGTTCATAAACAAGTGTGATAACATCCCTCGCCGTATTCCGCGCTGATACTGCCTGAGCAGGAGAACCATCCACATGAGAAAGGGGCAGGCGATCAACAACTCCAGTGACAGGGGACAAGATTCCGAATAATGATCACAGCATCATCCAAATCGCGGTACTGAACTACTCGGATGAAGACTGACAAACAATCATCGCATCACCTACGATCCGCAGCGGTGAATGAATGGCAGACGGCTGACAGCAGCAGATATAAAAACACTTGATAAAAACAAGAGCATCAAACAGACCACTAAACATCGCCTTTTAATACGAAATCATACGAGGTGTACTTGAAATAGACTTAAACCGAAAGAACACAATCGGGGCCTTACCTTAAGCTTTCGTTTAGCATTGAACTTCTTCAGGCACTCGACGGTTTCTTGACGATGCATCATGGAAGCCACACGTTCAGGTTGCTGAAAGGAAAGACGGATGGTAACAATCTCTGCATAAAAGGAGCAAAGGAATTCTAAAAGTGCGCACCGCTTTGTTGATGGTTGTGCTTTTAGGAATGCAGGTTTCGTGATATAAAAGTCATAAAACGGTTCGGACAGACGGCTGGAGTAAATGGACCAAGCTATTGTAATTACCGACAATAAGTCATACAGAGATGAAGAGTGGGAGGACTTACGAAGATCCATTGGTGCTTAAGGGCTTCAGCAGCAGTGATCCGCTTGGAGGGGTTCATTGTCAACATCTGGTTGATGAGATCTTTGGCATCAGGAGTCACGGTTTCCCATTCCGGAGGAGGGTACTATTAGCGGAATAAACGCACAGAAATTCAAATATGCCACGGTGAAGTATTTAGATACAAAATGGAATCCTGGTGAAAAGCATACTCGGGAGTGTAGTGACAGGCACACTCAAAGGACGCAGTCACATTTCCCTCCTTTAAATCAAGAGGCACACGGTCGCCGGCCATCTTTTTTCTTTATCGACAACGTAAAATTACATTATTTTACTTTTACAGAGCTTTTGCCCTCACATAACTTCCATCAACTTTGGTTCTATAGACTTGAACAGCATTTCAGATTGATCAATCCGCAGCTTAAAAGTTGTCTCCTTACAGTGATTACTTTTTTTTAATGTCGATATTCAGTTGGGTGACCTAACAACAGAGTTCTTGCGTCACGAGGATTAAAATATCAAGAATTGAGGCGAATGTTCGCATCCCAGGAACGTGAATATTTTGAGAAGAATTTTCAAACACTGGAATAGTCATTTTATTAGCCTGAGCTTTCGGGCTCCTGCAGGAGCCCGACGTCAGAGTAGGGAAAAACAGCAACAAATGAGGTGGCGAGTCAACGGCAAAACCCCCCAATTATTTATTTTCTGCCCGTTCAAATTTTGGCTGTTTTGTGCACACGCCAGGACTAGACACCTTATTTGTTGCTGCTTTTCCCTACTCTGACGATGGGCTCCTGCAGGAGCCCAATAGCTCAGACTAATAAAATGATTATTCCAGTGCTCGATGATTCTTCTTCTCGAAAAAGATTAAAATATCGCCCCGAAATTGTTGTGGTGACGTTAGCGTGCACTGATTCATAGTAAGAGAGACTGATATAGCATCCATCTCACACTTTATTTCCAGAACCAGCACTACAAGGCAGTCGGGACGAACTGCGGAGGCATCAGCATAACTCCCTACGCGTTACTCTCTTAAGGAAACGAGTCGCACGTACAACCTGCGGATATCCGGATGGGGACAGTCTATACACCCACATACTTGGTCGCCAAGCTGACTTTAGAACCTTTAGAGCGTTTAAGTAGGCCTTTTGAAAGCGGAAAATTAGCATGGTCGACTGGGCAGCTGAAAAAAGCCTTAGAGGTCAGACGGGTGCATAAAGTGCAGAAGAATGAACCTACTCCTGAAAATTCGTATCCCGGCAAGCCAAAAATGGAAAACGGTCAACAGCGGAAATTAGTCAGGTGGAAATTCTAACCGTTCTATTTTATTCAATTTTTAGGATGATTAAATTTTGCCCGTGGAAACGGCATTCATCCTCTGCAGAGTGCGCAAGATCAATTCTCTCCCCCCCCGGTCTCGGATCCGCCTAATTATGTTTAATCACACTAAAAACCTCGAAGGCGCGACTAGAGTGTGGAATGCATTGGAGCCAAACTTCCTCAGTT